TTTCAATCCAGTGTGGATGAGCTGATGTCTTTTTAAGCTTCCACTTTGAGTGAAAGCCATGCCACATTGATCACAGCTGAATGGTTTAAATCCAGTGTGAGCGAGCTGATGTTGTTTTAAATTGCCATTTACAGTAAAAGACATTCCACACTGATCACAGCTGAATGCTTTTAATCCAGTGTGGATGAGCTGATGTTTTTTTAACTTGCTATTATGAGTGAAAGCCTGTCCACACTGATCGCAACTGAATGGTTTAATGCCAGTGTGAACGAGTTGATGTATTTTTAAGTTGCTATTGTCAGAAAAAGACATTCCACACTGATCACAGCTGAATGGTTTAAATCCAGTGTGGATGAGCTGATGTTTTTTTAAGCCGCTACTCTGAGTGAAAGCCCTTCCACACTGATCACAGCTGAATGGTTTAATGCCAGTGTGGACGAGCTGATGTATTTTTAAGCTGGCATTGTGAGTGAAAGCCTTTCCACACCGATCACAGCTGAATGGTTTTAATCCAGTGTGGATGACCTGATGTTGTTTTAAACTGCTATTACGAGTAAAAGCCTTTCCACACTGATCGCATGTAAAGCTTCTGTTCCCACTGTCAATGTGCTGTCGTCTTCTGGCCTGCTTCATAGTGGTAGAAGTCTTCTCCACAGGGATCACAACAGGTTCATCTTTACTTGCAGGAACTGGTTGGGTTATGTTGCAATCATCAATGGACCGAGTTTTCGACATGCTTTCCATCCTTTCACCTACAATGACAAAGAACCAAAACAGTCACATGCAGTTATGTAACGACCAAACCTACAAAGAGTACATATGACGCCACATTGCATTCTTAGAACCTTACTTCAAATTAAGAACATACTTCCAAGAAAGAAAACCCACATATGCATTTACGCATCTATATACATCTACATACTTATATACAGACGTGGACAAAATTGTTGGTACCCTTCGGTCAATGTAAGAAAAACTCACAATGGTCAAAAATAACTTTAATCTGACAAAAGTAATAATAAAGTTTTTTTTT